TGTAATTGATAAAGTATTGCGCAAATGCTAAAATCTTGGGAGATGTTGACGTTCTCACATGATATCATGCAAGACACTGGGGGTAAGATTGCTGAAACTGTGTAAGAGTCGGTAATCTTGGGACTTCCGGGGAAGCAATGTGGCTTCGCAGAGAGCCCAGCTGATGATCACAGTGGAACAAGGAGCTGGTGAACGGATTGGCTCCTTGGAATTCCTCTCCGGACAAGGAGAGGACCTTGGATTGCCCATAAGTGCTCCATACAGTGCCCCTCATGAGGAGACTGTAAGGCAGAGCTGTCTGGCAGTTTTAGAGCTCTGGGAGCCAAGGGAAAGCCATCTCTGCCCAAGCTGTGGTTGGCACCTTCAAAAGGACCCTAGATTCGCTCACTTCCTTTCTTAATCACTAATGGAAATTGCTTGTTAACTGCTTTTTGGATATTAAGAACCTTCATAAAGGCAACTTTCATTACACCAAGTGAGTTTCCTTCAATCCTTGGCAAAAGAAGTTTTATGGAAGTTTAAGGACTTAAAAATTATTTTGGAATAAACTGCAAAAGGGTGATTAGAATGTTGATTTTGGAAAGTTATAAATGGACTAAGGGGTCAGATGGATTTGAAATAAGCTTTTGAAATTAACTACATGCATTCTTGCTGTGGGATGTTTAAAATTCTATTAAAAATATATGAAGATTTTGAGCCACCCAAAGTCACCTGTTGGGGGAGATGGGCGGCATACAAATTTAATAATAAATAAATAAATAAACAAAATAAATAGTGTAAGAAATCTTCCCATGGGGAAATGTTGATTAGAAAAAGACATGATAAGAGGAGACTTTGAAGGTTGGACACTAGAAGGAACCAGAAAGAACTAAAGATGATAATTTAAAGGACAAGAGACCCACTAATACAGAATGGAGCAAAATATTCTAACCTTCTTTACATCTCTCTCTCCTTTTTTCTTTACTATTTTTTCTTTTCTTTTTTTTACTGCTTTTTCCTCTGCACTTCTAATTTTTCTTGTTTCTTTTTATATTTTTCTTAGTTTCCATTAGTTTTTTTTTATCTTTGTATCTATACCCTTTAATAAACATGATTATATCTGAAAAAAGAGAGTTGGAGAACTTGTGCGATTTCAGTCATTTTTAAAAACGGAGCTTCATTGTCCAGCGTCGCAGCTTTGCAGAAGATCCCATCGCAACCCCTTAAACTACCACCAGCCTTCTGTGAAAGTGTGCAACGGTTATGACCCTTTTGTCTTCAATCAAGAGAGAATTTCCTCTCAGCGTGACACACGATGGGTGGATACTTAGGCAAACCTGGATTAGCAAAATGGAATCTTTACAAGGGGATGTATTTGTTTATTTGTCTTTATTTGTCTTTATGAATTCAATTTGTATGGCTGCCCCTCTCAGCAAGCGATTCTGGCTGGTTCCCCTGTCTGCTTGAATTGCAAATGCATTCACCCTTGCACTTCTGCAGACAGCTTTCAAGTGGGTTAAAAAAGGCAGCATGTGCAAAGAAGGAAACCACAGTGCTTGAACTCGAAAGAGCAGCTATTTTTCTGTAGGTGTGCATTTTTTTCTTTTTTGAGGAGGGAGAGGCAGAGTTTTTGAAGGTATTCAGGACGTTTAACTACAACCAATGGTGGGATTCAGGAAGGAAGTGAATCTTCAGTAAATCTGATTTTCTTTAAAAACAAAGG